GGCTCTCACAACCAATCGGTTCTACTCATCCCCCCCCCCCAGCCCCACCGAAAGTTTGCACCGAAAGTCTGACTTTAGAACGTAAGCTCGAAAGGTCCCAGAAGAGTTGAGTGATTTCAACCTCTCGTCCCTGTCACTGAGGGACGGCCCAAAGAAGAACTTCAGATGGGGCCAAAAGATCCCACAAAACAAGGGCGTGGCACAGGGGAGCAGATCTCAGGCCGCCACTTCCCAAGGGAAATGAATGAGGGAGGCCAGGCCCCGGACGGACGCGGCTACAGCTCCCGTGGCCCTCGGGGGCTGCCGTAGGCCCGCGCCGCGGACCCCCTCCCCACCCCAGACGGTCGCGGGCGCTGCCACCAGTTCGCAGCCCTCCGTCAGACCTCGACCCCGACAGAGCTCGAGTCCATGCCCCAGCCCCGCAGGGGAAGGGGATCCCGCCTGGCCAGCACCAGAGTGGCTAGCACCAGCCTCCCACGGGCCGTGCCCGTCTTCCCAAGGCGAGCGGGCCGCAGGGCCTCGCTGCTGAGCCATGCGCAACGCCTCACCCCGCGGCGCCATTCCTCCGAGCTGGTCCCCGCGGAGCCGGAGCTGCGACCTGACTTCCGCTCGGGAAAGTGGCTCCGAGAGCCCGCCTCAGGGGACTTCGGGGACTGGCGGCAAAGACTGCTTGCTGGGATGGGCACTCGACACAGGTAAGTCTCGGCAGCCCCAACGGGCCTAGCCTCAAACCTGCAGCCCCCCTGGCGATTCCAGTTCTGGCGCTCTGCAGGCCTCAGAGTTCACGTGTGCGGCCCTGCGTCTCCCCCGCTCTTCGCGCACACTTGGAACCGTCCGTCCTGCAACGGTCCTATTCGAGGAGCCTCCCGGATGCGGTTGGACCAGGCCTCAGGAGGGGTGGGCTATAGACGGGGCCGCCTCTGATTGGCCAATTGCAGAGATTGGCCAACCGCTCTGTCACTCACTGGTTTCTCTGCAGCCCGGCCAATTTTAAAGGAGCGGGAAGGCCTTGAGCCCCAGCTCAATTTCCGCCTTTTTGCTAGTTGACTGGAGGAAGATAAGGTTTTTTCTGCCTTGGCTGGCTTTGAAATGGATGATCCTCAGATCTCAGCCTCCTGAGGAGCTAGGATTACAGGCTTGAGATGCAAATGGTGTATTGAAATAGTCTGTTTTCAGAAAGTCAACTATTACATTACTCAGAATTTTGCAAATTGGTTAAATATAACCATTTAAAAATAATGTTCATAAAATGAGAGAAAGCATATTGAGAACAAAATTCATAATTTCCTGATTCTCTTGTTACATTTTACTCTTTTCTGTGTATTTATGATTTATGATAGTTTATACCTATTGAACCTACCTGCTATCATGTAGAAATACACCATGGTGTGAATACTACTACACAGTTTCTCAGCTTAACATTGGCAGCTTGATTTTGGCACATGACAAACAGAGCCTGATGTATTGCTTTGTTGAGTCTGGTCATGTCTACAGGTTTTCCATTCTGAATAACAAAAGCTTAAAGAAATGTTCTTGTAGTATTGGAAAAACCATGATCTAATTAAGAAAAGTCTGGTTATGGAAATGTAACTTAGTAATAGAGTGCTTGCCTAGCATGTTCAATCCTCACAAAAAGAGACAAACAAAAGGCTGGGAATGTGGCGTAATCGTAGAGTGCTTGCCTAGCTTCCATGAAGCCCTGGGTTTGATTCCTCAGTACCACATATACAGAAAAAGCCAGAAGTAGCACTGTGGCTCAAGTGGTAGAGTACTAGCTTTGAGCAAAAGAAGCTCAGAAACAGTTCCTAGGCCCTGAGTTCAAGCTCCACAGCCTGAAGAGACAGAGAGAGAGAGAGAGAGAGAGAGGGAGGGAGGGAGGGAGGGAGGGAAGGAAAGGAGAGAAAGAGAAAGAAAGGAAGAACGAGAGAGAGAGAGAAAGAGAGAGAGAGAGAGCGCTTGCGAGGGAAGGGAAAGGAGGGGAGGAGAACCAGAAATGGAGCTGTGGCTCAAAGTGGTAGAGCACTGGGCTCTGCAAAGGAGTTCAGGGTGAGCGCACAGGCCCTGAGTTCAAGCCCCACAACCTACAAAAAAAAAAAAAAACACTAAAGAATTCTGCTATTAAACATTTATCATTGCAGTTTAGCCTGGTAAAAACATGAGCAAAATATTTTAAGACACTTCATAAAAGAAAATATGCCAATAGGAAATAAACACAAGAAAATATGATCAACACCTTTGTAGACTACACCAGAGATATTCTACTACATACATGCAATGCAATGACCAACAATATCAAGTTAGCAAGTATGTAAAGCAATTGGTATTACATACAATGCATGTGGAAGTATAAATTTGTACAACAAATTTTGGAAATGACTCAGCAATTTCCTTAAATTTCAGCCATACAGTCTACCATACATCTTTTTTTTTTTTTGGGTCCAGTCGTGGGGCCTGAACTCTGGGCCTGGGCGCTGTCCCTCAGCTCTTCAGCTCAAGGCAGCACTCTACCACTTGAGCCACAGCGCCACTTCCGGCTTTTTTTTTCTGCTTATGTGGTGCTGAGGAATCGATCCCAGGGCCTTAAGCATGCAAGGCAAGCGCTCTACCACTGAGCCAGCTTCCCAGCCCTACCATATATCTTAACCTTTCCACTAGAGTGTGTTTTTTTTGGGGGGGGAGGGGCATTGGAGGAGAGGAATTGAGACAGGAATCTCATCATGTAGATCACACTGACCTTGAAGTTGTGATCCTCCTTCCTCAGCCTCCTGAGTGCGGGGATTATAGGTGTGCATCACCAAACCTGGCCATTTGTTTTTAAGTATTAATATTTTATTATCATTAAAAAATACATTCACAGGGCTGGGAAGGTGGCTCAGTGGTAGAGTGCTTGCCTTGCATGCATGAGGCCCTAGGTGCTATTCCTCAGCACCACATAAGCAGAAAAAGCCAGAAGTGGCACTGTGGCTCATGTGGTAGAGCCCTAGCCTTGAGCTGAAGAGCTGAGGGACAGTGCCCAGGCCCAGAGTTCAAGCCCCACAACAAGCAAAAAAAAAAGAAAAGAAAAGACAAAATACATTCACAGGGAAGTGGTGCTGTGGCTCGAGTGGTAGAGCACTCACCTGGAGCTGAAGAACTAAGGGATAGCGCCCAGGCCCAGAGTTCAAGCCCCACGACCAACAAAAAAAAGAAAAAGAAATCAAAAACATTCACAGAAGATTGCCCGACTCCAGTGTCTCACACCTGTAATCCTTGCTACTCTGGAGGCTGAGATCTAGGATAGATTTCCAAAATCAGCCTGGGCAAGAACGTCTGTGAGAGTCTTATATTTAATGAAATACTAAAAACAGCAGAAGTGGAGCTGTGGCTCAAGTGGTAGAGTACTAACCTTGAGCAAAAAATATCAGGTCCAAGCCAGGTTCTGGTGGCTCATGTCTGTTATCCTAGCTACTCAGGAGGCTGAAATCTGAGGCAGCCTGGGCAGGAAACTCCATCAGACTCTTATCTCAAATAAACTACTCAAAAAAGCCAGAAGTGGCACTGTGGCGCAAGTGGTAGAGCGCTTGCCTTGAGCAAAAGAAGCTCGGGACAGTGCCCAGGCCCAGAGTTCAAGCCCCAGGACTACACCAAAATAAATAAATATATATATGTATGTATGTACACACATCTGTAATATGTATATATTCATATGTATATATGTATATTTACAGAAAATAAAGTTCAAATTTCATTGGTTTATTTTTTGCAATATTGACTAAATATTTATAACATATATAAGAAAAAGAAAATATACAATGAGGCTATGTAGCAGTCAAACTGTTAAAGAAATTAACCATAATTTTAAGTCTTCTTCCTAATTTAACCCATTCTGTCTCCTTCCCTACCCTGTAAAAGATACTCATCTTACAGATCATATTGTATCCTTGATTCTCTTCATACTTTTACCCCATATGTTTTTTGGGGTTTTTTTGGGTCCAGTTGTGGGGCCTGAACTCTGGGCCTGGGCGCTGTCCCTCAGCTCTTCAGCTCAAGGCTAGCATTCTACCACTTGAGCCACAGTGCCACTTCCGGCTTTTTTCTTTTTGCTTATGTGGTGCTGAGGAATGGAACCCAGGGCCTCATGCATGCAAGGCAAGCGCTCTACCACTGAGCTACCTTCCCAGCCCCACCCCATATTTTTTAATGCTTACGTATTTTAGTTTTACATTATTATAATTATTTAGCTTTTTATGTAAATGAAATTTACTGCATATTTTTCTGAGACTTTTTAATTTTAAAGATTTATTTTTGAGACAGTCTGCTATGTAGCTCAAGATGGCCTTGAGCTCATGATCTTGCCTGAGTTTCCTGAGTGCTGGAATTAAAAGAATGCACAGTCACTCCCAGCTTTCAACCCATTCATTGTCACTGCTATATAAATATACTAGATACCACAGATGTTAATTCTTTTATGTTTTGTACTGCTAGGCAGCAACTCTGGTTCTTATACTTGCTAGGCAGGAGCTCTTACCACTGAGCCATTCTTCCCAGTCCTAATTTTTGCTGGTTATTTTTGACCTAGCATCTTGCTCCTTGCCCTAGGTGCAATTTACCTATGTTATGAGTCCTATGTAGTGGGGATAACAGGTGTGCTCTACCACATTCTGCTCTTTATTGAGAAGGATCTTGAAACCTTTTCTGCCTGGCCTGGCCTTGAATCACAGTCTCTAATTTCAGCCTCTCAGGTAAGTAGCTAGGATAACAATAGGCATGAGCCACCAATCCCCAGCTATGTTCTCCTGCTGCTGGACCTCCATTTCTTATCTTGATGATTGCCATGAAGATTCTTCTATATATTCCTGATACACACATGTGAAAGTTGTACTAGAATACACTTTATTCAACTTTATTACTAATGCCAAATGGTTTTCAAAGTGTTACTACCAATTTACACTTCCAACTGAAACACATAAGATTTATTACTGCTCTATGCTTTTGTTAAATTTAATATTTATACTGATATAAAAAGTAATATCAAAGTTTAAAAACTAAATTTCTCTCTCCATGATTTCACTCCACAAATGTTACATTGTTTTTTGTGTCATTCCTGGGGCTTGAACTCAGGGCCTGGGCAGTCTCAGTGCTCAAGTCTAGCTCTCTACCACTTGAGCCATAGCTCCACTTCCTGCTTTTGGGTGGTAAGTTTATATGAGATAAGTGCCAGTCTGGGCTGGCTTTGACTGCAGTCCTCAAATCTCAAAGTAGCTAGGATTACAGGCATGAGCCACCGGTACCCATACACAAATGTTTGAATTCCATGTTTTTCTATTTGTCCCACTGTGTGTGTGTGTGTGTGTGTGTGTGTGTGTGTGTGTGTGTGTGTGTGTGTGTGTGTGTGTGTGTGTATACATGCATGTATATACATAGAAATATATCACTTTTGCAAATATATACTGTCTTATGTCAATAAACATGTTATTATGTGCTAACCATTGTTTGGCCATTTGATTTTTCATTAATCTTACCTATACTAAACACTAATAGACTCATTCATTCACTGTATCAATATTTACTGAGCATTACCACATGCCAGGCATTGTTCTAGGATGTTTGGATATATTCAAAGCAGTCTAAGTAAGACTATTGATCTTCTGAAACCTACATTTTAGTAGGAGTAAGTGGATAAATAATGATCATTTATAAAAACCTGAATTGGGGGGCTGGGAAGATGGCTCAGTGGTAGAATGCTTGCTTTGCATGCATAGCCCCTGGGTTCGATTCCTCAGCACCACATAAGCAGAAAAAGCTGGAGATGTCGCTGAAGCTCAAGTGGTAGAGCACTAGCCTTGAGCTAAAGAGCTGAGGGACAGTGCCAAGCTGTTTAGTTCAAGCCGCACTACCAACAAAAAACAACAACAAAAACCTGAATTGGGCTGGGTGAATAGCTCCATGGTGGAGCACTTAGAATATGCAAGGCCTGGGCTGGGAAAGTGGCTCAGTGGTAGAGCGCTTGCCTTGCATGCTTGAGGCCCTGGGTTCAATTCCTCAGCACCACATAAGCAGAAAAAAAAAAAAGCCAAAGTGGCGCTGTGGCTCAAGTGGTAGAGTGCTAGCCTTGAGCTGAAGAGCTGAGGGACTGCCCAGGCCCAGAGTTCAGGCCCCAAGACCGGACCCAAAAAAAAAAAACAAGAGAATATGCAAGGCCCTGGGTTCTATCGTATAAATAACTAAATGGTATATAAGATGTTATGTGCTATGGACAAAAGAAAAAGTAGGCAAAAGCAAGGAGATCAAAGTAGGATAGAGGGGTGTTATCCATCCACCTATCCATTTTACTACCTGTGAAGCTGACAGTTTTCTAGGTGCTAGGGAGACAAGGTTTCTCCTCTTATAGAGCTAACATTCTGATAAGAGACAATCAAGCAAATGAACAATGTCTTTATTGGTGATGATAAAAAATACTCAGGGAAAAAAAGTAACTATGGGCTGGGATGGAAAGAGGTCACTTAGTATATCCAGACCAAGATCACTAAATACTTCTCTGAGCAGGGGATGCTTGGGCTTTCAACTGAATGAGAAGACAAAAGCAGCTGTCTCTGAAAAAATAATTGTTCTAATCTCCTCTTTGTTCTTAGGATCTATGATCAGGAAGAATTGGTGATCCCTTATGCTTCTGACAGTGATTCAGGAAGTGTAGATTTGCAGCTAAGCGACTTAGAGGGTATTCAAAAAGACTCAAGTAGTACAGATCTTACAGGTAAAAAGGGTAAAGGAATTTTTTTTTAATGAGTGGGAAGGAAAGTCTCTCCTCTGCTTCTGCCTTGTCCCTTCTTCCTCCCCATCTCCTTCTTTCTTTCCAGCTAGAGCTGCCAAGCAGATAGTAAAACTATCTGTCCTCATATGCATTGGTCCTCCCCACTAAATTGTTATAACTTCATTGTAATAAGATGTCATCTGGTGTCTTTCTTGCAGTATTAGACTTGGAAATCCCTGACATCCCTGAATTCTCACAGGAGTCCTTCACAGATAGCCTCAGGAACCTAAATCGTGGGAGCCCCCTCAGCCAGACCAGTGTGGAGAGGCTGGTCCAGTCCATCCAGGAAGTTTTTCGTGGTAAGCTGAAGGTATGCACAGCATTCTTTTTTTTTTTTTGTAGGTCATGGGGCTTGAACTCTGGTCTTGGGCGCTGTCTCTGCGCTCTTCAGCTCAAGGCAAGCGCTCTACCCTTGAGCCACAACACCACTTCCAGTTTTCTAGTGGTTTATTAGAGATGAGAGTCTCACAGAATTTCCTGCCTGGACTGGCTTTGAACTGTGATCCTCAGATCCCAGCCTCCTGAGTAGCTAGGATTACAGGCATGAGCCACGAGCTCCTGGCTTGCACAGCATTCTTTATGAGCAATCCAGTTCATTTCTCTGTGTGAACAAATGTTTCAAACATATTATTTCTTGGGGCTGGGAAGGTGGCTTAGTGGTAGAGCACTTGCCTTGCATGCCTAAGGCCCTGGGTTCAATTCCTCAGCACCACATAAGCAAAAAGAAAAAAGCCAGAAGTGGCGCTGTGGCTCAAGTGGTAGAATGCTAGCCTTGAGCTGAAGAGCTGAGGGACAGCGCCCAGGCCCAGACTTCAGGCCCCATGACCAGACCCCCCCAAAAAAAACAAAAAAACATATTATTTCTTTATTACAAAAATATTTTGGGTTGTTTTTCTTTATGCTTAAAATAAAATTTGTGTTTACATATTTATTGATAAAAATATAAGCCATATAAAAACAGAGACAATCATAAAATATTCAAAGTCTTTTCTATCCTCAGTCAGTTGTGGGGCTTGAACTCAGGGCCTGGGCGCTGTCTCCGAGCCTCTTCGTGCTCAAGGCTAGTGTTCTACCACTTGAGCCACAGCACCACATTTGGCTTTTGACTGGTTAATTGGAGAAAAGAGTCTCACAGGGACTTTGCTGCCACCCAGACTGGCTTCAACATGAGATCCTCAGGTCTCAGCCTCCTAGTACCTAGGATTACAGGTCTGAGCCACCTGCTCCCAGCACTGTTAACAGTTTAATATATATGTTGTGTACAGAAATATGTATATATACATATGTGTATATTTACATATATATGCATACACACACACACACACACACACACACTCGGGCCTTTTCTTTCCATACAAGAACACATAATTATAGTGAAAAAAATCCTATATGGTGATAGAAAACAAATATTCTAGGTAGATTATTAACTATATATTGTACTACTTTTGGGCTATATATTATTCCATCATTTAAATTAAATGTTTATTTGTTCATGGATCCTGTGGGAGCATGTAACAGAAAGAACTTATCTTTACCTGGGAATAAAGGAATGCCTCTCTGAGGAAGTTACTCTTGAGCTCAGATCTGAGCAATGAAAGGGAGAAACTAGCAGTACTAGGAGTAGTATTCTAGAAAAACAAAATCAGTTATTAATAACCTTGAGGCATAGCACGCTGAGGAACCCTAGGAAACCTGGCATGTCTAAATTATGGAGATGAAGGAGATCAAGAGTAAAGGGTAAGGCTGAATAGATGGACTCAGCAGGCCATGCTGAGTCTTGAAAACATGGACAAGGATCTGGAGGTGTGTTTCAATGAAAGAGTACTAGCCTAGCATGTACAGGCCTTGGATTCAATTCTTAGCACAGGAAGAAGAAAACTGGGATAAGAATTTGGTCTTTAGCCGGGTGCCCAGTGGCTCACGCCTATAATCCTAGCTACTGAGGAGACTGAGATCTGAGGATCTCGGTTCAAAGCCAGCCCGGGCAGAAAAGTACGTGACACTCTTATCTCCAGTTAACCACTAGAAAACCAGAAGTGTTGCTGTGGCTCAAGAGGTAGGTACAGCGCTCGCCTTGAGCTGAAGAGTGCAGGGATAGCGCCCAAGTCCAGAGTTCAAGCCCCACGACCTACAAAAAAAAGAATTTGGTCTTTAGCCTAAGAACAATTAAGTGAATAAGGAAACGGTGTTCTAGTTTATTCAACAGTACCCTATTGTCAGACATTTTGGTTCTTTCCAGATTTTTATAGTTTGTTGGCAGATAATCCTTTTGGATTTTACTGAGTGGTGGATATTAAACTCAAACCCTTGCAAATGTCATTAACATATACATATTCTAGGTGATTTGTTATACCTTATATGATTTTTTTCTGGGTTAATTCCTAGATATGAATCAAAGGGTATATACCTTTTTGTGTGTCCTGATCCTTGAACTCAGGGCCTAGACACTATTCCTGAGCATTTTTGCTCAAGGCTAGCACTTTACCACTTAAGCCACAGCTCCACTTCCAGCTTTGTAATGGTAAATTGGTGATACGAATCTCACAGACTTTCTTGACCAGTCTGGCTTCAAACCATGATCCTTGGATTTCAGCCTCCTTAGTAGCTAGGATTACAGATGTGAGCCACCAATGCCCAGCTTCTACCTTTTTTAAGCTCTCAATGGTTTTTGGTTTTTTGGGTCTGGTAGTGGGGCCTGAACTCTGGGCCTGGGTGCTGTCCCTCAACTCTTCAGCTCAAGGCTAGCACTCTACCACTTGAGCCACAGCGCCACTTCCAGCTTTTTTCTTTTTTTGCTTATGTGGTGCTGAGGAATCGAACCCAGGGCCTCAGGCATACAAGGCAAGCGCTCTACCACTGAGCCATCTTCCCAGCCCCTCTCAATGGTTATTGTTAAATTATCCCCTAAGAATGTATATGGTTCACACACACACATATTCTTTCCAATAAAATTTATTAAATCCAATTAAAGATAATTACAGTTACTCAAAATCAGTTTGTTTTTTTTTTGGGGTCCGGTCGTGGGGCCTGAACTCTGGGCCTGGGCGCTGTCCCTCAGCTCTTCAGCTCACGGCTAGCACTCTACCACTTGAGCCACAGCGCCACTTCCGGCTTTTTTTCTTTTTGCTTATGTGGTGCTGAAGAATTGAACCCAGGGCCTCGAGCATGCAAGGCAAGCGCTCTACCACTGAGCCACCTTCCCAGCCCTCAAAATCAGTTTTTTGGTTGTGTGTGTGTGTGTGTGTGTGTGTGTGTTACAGAGGATCAAAACCAGAGCCACACACATGATAGCCAAGTAAAGGTTCTACTCCTGAGCTACATCTCCCAACCTTGCTTTTGTTTTGAAATCTTAATTATCTAATTGATAAAAAAAAAAGAAGAGGTGGGAATTTTTTTTTTTCATAGTTGGGCATGGGGCTTTGAATTCTGGGCTTGGGCGTTGTCCCTGAGCTCTTCAGCTCTAGGTGAGCGCTCTACCGCTTGAGCCACAGCACCACTTCCGGTTTTCTAGTGGTTTATGGGAGATAAGAGTTGCACAGGGGCTGGGAAGGTGGCTCAGTGGTAGAGTGCTTGCCTTGCATGCATGAGGCCCTGAGTTCGATTCCTCAGCACCACATAAGCAAAATGAAAAAAGCCGGAAGTGGCGCTGTGGCTCATGTGGTAGAGCGCTAGCCTTGAGCTGAATAGCTGAGGGACAGCACCCAGGCCCAGAGTTCAGGCCCCTTGACCGGACCAAAAAAAAAAAAAAGAGTTGCACAGACTTTCCTGCCCAGGCTAGCTTTGAACTGTGATCCTCAGATCTCAGCCTCCTGAGTAGCTAGGATTACAGGCGTGAGCCACCGGTGCCTGGCGAGGTGGGAATCTTAAAAGTACATAAATATTTTAGACAGTAGCAAGAAGTATAGAGGAATCAGAAGGTGCAGAGGCCCAGAAGCAGGAAAGGGCATCATGGAAGTTAATTTACTAGAGCTCAGAATGTCAGACAGGGCAAGAGATATCTGAAAGGTCATGGTCTTGTCTTGCAATTGAAAGACTATACATAGCAAGTTACTGGATCTAATGTTCGTTTGAGAAAGATGCATTTGGCTATAGCTATAGAAATAGATTGGAGAGGGACAAAACGAATGAAGATGTCCATTGTTAGATGGCTATCCTAGTTCGTGTGAAATATGACATCATGAAATCTGCTTTCATGTACTGAAACTTGCTTCCCAAAGTGAGTGCACCAGTTTACATCACTTATGTATAACTAGAAGAATTGTTTCAAGGGCTGGGAAGATGGCTCAGTGGTAGAGCGCTTGCCTTGCATGCATGAGGCCCTGGGTTCAATTCCTCAGCTAAGAAAAAAGAAAAAAGCCAGAAGTGGCGCTTTGGCTCAAGTGGTAGAGTGTTAGCCTTGAACTGAAGAGCTGAGGAACAGCACCCAGGCCCAGAGTTCAAGCCCCATGACCGGACCCCCCCCCCAGCAAAAAAAAAAAAAGAATTGTTTCAAATCTTTCTCAAATGGAATTATTGGTGTCATATATTTTCTCCTTTTTTTTTTTTTGGCCAGTACTGGGGCTTGAACTCAGGGCCTGAGCACTGTCCCTGAACTTCATTTGCTCAAGGCTAGCACTCTACCATTTGAGCCACATACCACTTCCAGCTTTTTCTGTGCTAAGGAATGTAATCCAGGGCTTCATGCATGGTAGGCAACCCCTTTACCACTAAACATATTCCCAGCCCTATTTTCTTCTTTATAATATGTTTTTCAATTTTTTTATGATAAACAGATACTGGTTTTGCAATCAGAAAAAAAAATAGAATGTCAATACAACAAAAAGAGAATATATTCTTCAAATCAGATCTGTCCTTTTAATTTAAAAAAAGCTTTAGGAGCTGGAAAGGTGGCTCAGTGGTAGAGCACTAGCCTTGAGCTGAAGAGCTGAGGGACAGTGCCCAGGCCCAGAGTTCAAGGCCCCACGACCAGACCAAAAAAAAAGCTTTAAGGATTTGAAATAATGACTCTGTAAGGCCATTAAGAAAATTAGAATGAACTGTCTCAGAGGTCACCTTTAGGAAGCTTAATTTGGTAGTTCTTCACAGTGTGGGTAAGTAAGGACATAAAGACTAAACATGGGGGCTGGGAAGGAAGGTGGCTCAGTGGTAGAATGCTTACCTTAAATTTATGAAGCCCTCTCCACCACATAAGCAGAAAAGGCCAGAAATGGTATTGTGGCTCAAGTGGTAGAGTACTAGCCTTGAGCTAAAGAGTTGAGGGATAGCACCAGGCCCAGAGTTCAAGCCCCATGACCAACAAAAAAAAAAAAAAAGACTAAACATGGAGGGAGCTATGGACCACTTAGTAATCAGCCCTAAGAGAAGAGAGGGCCCAGACGAAGTCGGCTCTGTGGACAAGGAACATCATGGAAATCCCTCTGTAATTTACTCATTACTTATTGATAAAAGACTGATACTAGGGCTAGGAATTGGCTTAGTGGTAGAATACATGCCTAGCATGCAGGAAGCCCTGTGTTCCATTCCTTAGTACCCCATAAACAGGAAAAACCAGAAGTGGCTCAAGTGGTAGAGTGCTGGCCTTGAACAAAAGAAGCTCAAGGACAATGCTCAAGGCCCTGAGTTCAAGCTTCAAGGCCAGCACAAAAAAAGGGAAAAAAAAGATTACATATAATCATGTTCTTATCATTTCCCACAAATTCAGGGTGAACAGGCAAAGCTGAAGTTCCTAAGATCTTTGTCTTCTCTCAGCCAAACTTTACTATATGATGAAACCACAGAGTCATTTATTCACCGTCATATAGCTGACATCGTGCATATCCTTAATGTAAGTATTGTAATTTTATAAATGATTCAGTGGCTTAGTCAAACACTTTTCAGTTGTTTCACCTGTGTTATCAGTTCCTTCAAATTATTTCCATCTGAGTCTTTTTCCATTTTTCCATGGAGAAGAAATACTCAGGGATGTCCCTGAAAAACATTATTCAGGAATCTACCTGAATAATGAAAAACAATTAAAAGAGGAGTCATTTTACAGATGAGGAAACTGAGGTCTGCTCACTATTTGAGTTCACCCCAACAGTTAGTAAGAGGCAGAGCTAAAGCCTGGGCTCTGACTGCAGAGAATAAGTTCTACCATCCCATGGAACCAGCATAAATAGTAGCCGGTTAATGAGCTTGGTCTTGTTCTTGCAGGCCTTCACTTCTCCAACCAACTCTGGCTCCTGAGTTGGTACATTCTCAACTCCCTCTAGTTTTTTCCCTCTCGTGTAGGTGCTGGTACAAGAGGAGCCCCTGAATTATCTGTCCAGCCCAGTGCTCCAGGAGGTCTTGGTCACCATCACTGAGTTCAGGTGACTCCCACGTGTACCTTTAACGGGCATCCTGTTTCCACAGTCAGGGCGGGCCAATTCCAGAGTCAAGAGACATGTTCCAAAATTTAACTTTTGAAAACTATTTAGGTAGGGAAAGGAAATCCAAATCCACATTTTGATTTCATATATGTTATCATCCATAACCCAAGAGATCTAGAATCACACACACACACACTCTTTAAAACAAAAAACACAAAAAAAAACCAAAACAAACAAACAAGGCTAGCTGCCCTAACACTTGAGCCACAGCTTTACTTCCAGCTTTTTCGGTGCTTAATTAGAGATAAGACTCTCACAGCTGTTTCTGCTTAGGCTGACTTTGAACCATGATCCTCAGTTCCTGTGTAGCTAGGAATACAGGTGTGAGCCATCAGTGCCTAGCCCCTCTAGAATCTCTTGGAGCACAGTTTTGTCCAGAGCACATTGAGTAGAAAGTGATTCCTACCCACATTTCCAAGTGTAGAGTTCTAAAGCCTCCAAAGCCTGCTGGCTGTTACTTCTCTTGGAGAACTGCAGTGGTTAAACTGATTTTTTTTTTTGGGGGGGGGGTCGGTCATGGGGATTGAACTCTGGGCCTGAGCGCTATTCCTGAGCCCTTCAGCTCAAGGCAAGAGCTCTACCACTTGAGCCACAGCACCGCTTCTGGTTTTCTGGTGGTTAATTGGAGGCAAGAGTCTCACTGACTTTCCTTCCCAGCCTCGCTTTGAACCATGATCCTCAGATCTCAGCCTCCTGAGTAGCTAGGATTACTGGCATGAGCCACCAGTGCCCAACTTTTGGTTATACCGATCTTAATGAGTTGTCTTCTGTTTAAGTTTTTAACTCGATTCAACTTATTGTGTCACAAAATAACATTTGGCAGGACATACTGTTATGTTTTGGGGGTTTTTTTTGCACATGTAATTTGCTTTATTTATGGGTAATACTTGGAGTCAACAAATCCATAAAGGCAGAAAATATATCAGTGGAGAGGGGGAATGTGGAGTGACTGCAAATGGGTGTGTGGTGTCCTTTTGGGTGATGAAATGTTCTGAAATTAGATAGTGATGATAATTACACAACTCTGATTTACTACATTGACAGGACATACTTTGGAAAATTTTGATTTCCCTTTGTGGCTGAGCTGGAGAAGGGCCTGGAAGCCCAGTGTCTTCTTGGGGAGACACTACTAACAGATTGATCAGCGATGTTATGATTTATCTCTTCCATCAGAATGGTACACCAGCCAGCTTACCTGCTAATCCATATAAAATCAATCTGTTTTCTTTTTTCTTTTTTTTGCCAGTCCCTAGGACTTGAACTCAGGGCCTGAGCACTGTTCTTGAGCTTCTTTTTTTTTTTTTTGTTGGTCATAGGACTTGAACTCTGAGCCTGGGCACTGTCTCTCAGCACTTTAGCTCCAGGCGAGCACTCTATCACTTGAGCCACATTGCCACTTCCAGTTTTCTGCTGGTTAATTGGAGATAAGAGTCTCACAGACTTTCCCACCCAGGCTCGCTTTGAATCATGATCATCAGCTCTCAGCCTCCTGCATAGCTAAGATTACAGGCATGAGCTACAGGTACCTGGCTGCCCTTGAGCTTCTTTTGCTCAAGGCTAGCACTCTACCACTTAAGCCACAGTGCCATTTCTGGCTTTTTCTATGTATGTGGTACCGAGGAATCAAACCCAGGGCTTCATTCATGCTAAGCAGGCACTCTACTACTAGGCCACATTCCCATCCCTCAATCTGTTTTCTCAACTTACTCTTCCCAAACTGTCTTTTCATAGTTACCAAGATGTCCATCTACTGCTTGACTCAGAAGATAGAGATGACCTGCTCAATCTCATCGTCAAAATTTTAATCACTCTGCCTTCTGTAGACATTCTTATCCAGCTGCAGGGGGCCAGGCAAAGTGGGCTCCACAACACAGAGGTAATGCCCACTTGGCTGTGTTAGCTTCCATCCATAGGTTCAGCTTGGTTCCCATCCATAGGTTCAACCTTGGTCAAGATTAACCAAAATAAATTAATTTAATCAACCAAATTAAATTAAATCAAATTAATTAAATTAACCAAAATTAAATTAACCAAATGTATCAGGCACCCATGGCTATAATCCTAGCTACTCCGGAGGCTAGGATCTGAGGATCATGGCTGCTAGCTAGCCTAGGCAAACAAATATGAGAAACTCTTATCTCCAACTAACTACATAATCCATACTCATATATAAACACTGAATGCATGCATGCATTTGGTATGTATTTCTTTTTGGGGGTGAGAGGGGTTCAAGACTGGGACTCAAACATAGTACCTGATGCTTTCACTTATTGGCTCTACCAACTGAGCCATGCCTCCAACCTTGCATACCTTCATTTTTTAATGGTATTTTCATCTTTTTGTTTTTTTTTTGGGGGGGTCCGGTTGTGGGCCTGAACTCTGGGCCTGGGTACTGTCCTTCAGCTCTTCAGCTCAAGGCTAGCGCTCTACCACTTGAGCCACAGCACCACTTCCGGCTTTTTTCTTTTTGCTTATGTGGTGCTGAGGAATCGAACCCAGGGCCACAGACATGCAAGGCAAGCGCTCTACCACTGAGCCACCTTCCCAGCCCGGTATTTTCATCTTTTAAGATACATTCCCAGTTGAACTTATTTCACTCCACTATTAACTAATTAACCAAATAAACTTTTAACAATAAGTGTTTCTTCCTTCCTTAATCTTGTGTTCTCTCATTTTTCTTTGCTTTGCTTTTGGCTTTAAAATAAGGTAGTAGTAGTCGTGTGTGTGTGTGTGTGTGTGTGTATGTGTGTGTGTGTGTGTGTGTGTGAAAATGCATATTTATTTTGGCTATTATATGAGACAGGATCATGCTGGGTGGCACAGGTAGCCATGAACCTTGTGATCCTTCTGTCCCACCCTCCAAAGTGCCTAGATAGGGCTGGGATGTAGCTCAGTGGCAAAGTGCTTGCTTAGCAAGTGCAACGTTCTGGGTTCGATCCCCAGTACCAAAAAAGAAAAGACAAAAAAAATACAGTTAAAAAAAAAAGAAGTGCCTAGATACAGGCTCAGCTTTTACATACATTTCATTGAGGACCTGTGTGCAAAGCATTGAATAAAAATTATACATCCTGAGTCATGGACAAACCACTGACACGTGAAATATATTTGCTAATAAGAAATATTTAGTATTATGAAAAAGCAAAGCAGGAAAATAAGTGAAAGAGTGCTGTGGTTGGAGAGCCAGGGGCTCCTGTGGGTGGGTTATCAGAAAAAGCTTTCCCATAGAGTGAGAGTGGCCCACGACAGGAGAGAGCTCCAGGCAGAGAGAGACTGACAGCAGAGGCCCTCATTGTCTTCTGTGGCTGCTAACCTGGCCAGTGAGGCACTTACCAAAGAAGATTTAACCTCCCTCTGTTAGAGGACAGAAAGTTACAAGCAAACTTTAAGCATATCTTGATGATCCTATGTAGATCTTCAAGTATAGTTAGTGTCAGTTAGCATGATCCTGGGAATGCTGAGGAATCTGTTTGAAATGCAGATTTAAGCCTGGTGTCTGGCTCATATCCATAATCCTAGTTATTCTTGAGGCTGAGATCTAAGGATCAAAGTTCAAAGCCAACCCAGCTAGGAAAGTCCATGAGACTCTTATCTCCAATAAAGCATCAAAAAGCTGGAAGTGGAGATGTGGCTCAAGTAGTAGAGTGCTAGCCTTGAACAAAAAACAAAAACAGAGTAACTCAGGAACAGCACTCAGGCCTTGAATTCAAGTCTCAGGACTAGCACTATACACATAAAATGCAGATTTATTCTATTCAACCTCATGCCATACCTTGTCCTTGATTACTTTTCCTGCGAGTCTGAACTTTGGGTTAAGTGTCAAGGTGGTGAGAGGAGTCTTGGAGTGTGTAGTGCTTGGAGAACTTTCTAGTAAGGGAGCTTCACTGATCCCATGCCTTTTCAGTGTCTCTACAGGCAGACTTTCCAGGCATTTTCTGACATGCTACAGAGTTTTGTGATGAAAGACCCACATTTGGAAAAATTTGACACCATCTTTAAGGTAAAAAGATTATTGGGGAGAAGGGAAACTTCCTATTCACTGGTGCAAGTGGAAGAAGAGAATGTGGGACAATTAAGTGTAGGAGGCAACACATAGCTGAGAAGCAGTGATCAGTTTTGAGTCAGGGGTTAGGGCTCACATCCTGCCTGCTCTCTGTGAGTTACAAGTTCTTCTGTTATAAGTTCTGTGAGGAGTTCTTGTTTTTTCACCTTTCCATAAAGATATTCATTTGAGTATTCATTTGAGACAGGGTCTGATAGAATAATTTCAGAATTTGTGGGGCTGGAAAGGTAGCTCAGTGGTAGAGTGCTTGCCTTGTGTGCATGAGGCCCTGGGTTTGATTCCTCAGCACCACATAAGCAGAAAAAGCCGGAAGTGGCATTGTGGCTGAAGTGGTAGAGCACTAGCCTTGAGCTAAAGGGCTGAGGGACCCAGGCCCAGAGTTCAGGCCCCACAACTGACCAAAAAAAAAAAAAATTATGTTGCCCGGGCCAGTCTCAGACTCACTATGTAACGCAGGCTATCCTCAAACAATCATCTTGCCTTCACCTCCCAAGTGCTCATATTACAAGTATGTGCCACCATTCCTGGATTACTATGAGTATTGAATAAATGGGTCAAGTGGTTGTTTTGTTTTTATTTTTCCCCTGTCCTGTAGTTTGAACTCAGGGCCTGAGCACTGTCCCTGAGCTTCTTTTGCTCAAGGCTAGCATTCTACCACTTGAACCACAAGCACCACTTCTGGCTTTTTCTGTTTATGTGGCACAGAGGAATGGAACCCGGGGCTTCATGCATGCTAGGCAAACACTCTACCACTAAGGAACACTCTCAGCCCCTCAAGTGGTTTTTATAATTATTCCTCATTGTCTAGTACTAGTATAGAAGGGTTTCAGCCAGTGACCAGGGTCTAGTAAGCCTCAAAAGTGAATAAATTGATAGCTTCCTACCAGCTTGGACTCAAAAATAGAAAATGGGGGCTGGGAAGGTGGCTCACTGGTAGAGCGCTTACCTTGCATGCATGAGGCCCTGGGTTTGATTCCTCAGCACCACATAAGCAAAAAGAAAAAAGCTGGAAGTGGCACTGTGGCTCAAGTGGTAGAGCACTAGCCTTGAGCTGAAGAGTTGAGGGACAGCGCCCAGGCCCAGAGTTCAGGCCCCATGACCGGACCCAAAAATTAAAAAATAGAAAATGGCCATACTATCTGCCTGACCTATAGCTATTGTAGTTTATGCCATCCAGCAATAGAGATTGCTATGGATTAGCTACAGTTTTAAGTACCTTAGTCTCTTGTCCTATTTATTTATTTATTTGCCAGTCCTAAAGCTTGAACTCAGGGGACACTGTCCCTGAGCTTCTTTTGCTCAAGGCTAGTACTCTACTACTTGAGCCACAGAGCCACTTCTGGCCTTTTCTGTTAATGTGGTACAGAGGAATCGAACCCAGGGCTTCATGCATGCTAGGCAAGCACTCTACCACTAAGCCACATTCCTAGCCCTCTTTTGTCCTTTTTAAAGACACAGATATCCCTGAAAGGGAAAACCCATTAAGCTGTTAATAATCATGTGCACCTGAGTACAGGTAGGCATTCCTCTTTGCCTTGACATTTTTCTCATTGTATTTCTATTTGTATATTATCACACCAACTAGCTGGAGTATTCTCCCTTTATCCAGTTGTATTTTCTACTTTCCTGTCATGGGAGCTAAATTCAAGCCATTCCTCTGTCAAAAAAAGCTACCTTCTATGGGGCTAGGAAGGTGGCTCAGTGGTAGAGTGCTTGCCTTGCATGCATGAGACCCTCGGTTCGATTCCTCAGCACAACATAAGCAGAAAAAAAAAGCCGGAAGTGGTGCTATGGCTCAAGTGGTAGAGCCATAGCCTTGAGCTGAAGAGCTGAGGGACAGCGCCCAGGCCCAGAGTTCAGGCCCCACGACCGGACCCAAAAAAAACAACAACAAAAAAACACTACCTTCTTGATGAGCTCCTACTTGTGGCTATAATCTTCTCCATGAGTCCCTTCATGACTGTCCAGGTAGATGTAATTTCTCCTTGACATAGTTTTTTGTCCATCATGGAGCCTGAACTCTGGGCCTGGGCACTGGCCCTCAGCTCTTCAGCTCAAGGCTGGTGTTCTACCACTTGAGCCACAGCACCACTTCCGGCTTTTTCTGCTTATGTGGTGCTGAGGAATCGAACCCAGGGCCTCCTGCATGCAAGGCAAGCCCTCTACCACTGAGCCACCCTCCCAGGCCCTCCACATACTTCTTTAATAGTACATTTTATTGTTTCCAAAGCAGATCTGAATTGGCTAAAAAGATATAAGAGAATGGAATATTTAAGAATTAGGATGAAGGGAAATAAATGTAGAAAGTAAGCTATCTAGACCTAACTACCCAGATTCTTAGGCCTTGCTTATCAACCATCCACTTTCATCTCTAACCCAATTTGGTTTGTCATCAGGGTTTTCAGACATCAAAGTTAAATAATGTGGAATTTCTCTATGTTTGCTTCCAAACAGAGTAAAAGTGTTACCCCAAACCCCCTTTAATTTTTTATTTTTATTTATTTATTTATTTTTATTTTTTAGCACATGGAGCCCTGGTTACAGTCAGCCAAAAACCATGAGAGGAAACGGGCCACGGCCACCATGGCCCAAGTTCTCAAGTGCTTATCGAGACATCTCAGCCTGAAGGTGAGCAGCTCTTTAGTTGTTGAGGAAGAAGGATCCAGAGCTATACCTTTTCCCTCTTTACTTATGACTTCCAGCCTGGGCAACACAGCATTCAGCATTATTTGTATACCTGCCCTTTTCCTAAAATGTGAGCCATTAGAGAGCAGAGAAGAGATTTACACACTATGACTACATTTAGAAAACAAGATAAAGAAGCTTAGTGCACCCAGACCCATCTTCAAGGATCTAATAATGGTACCCTTGAGGTTTTGTTTGAAAAAAAAAAAAAGGGGCGGGGGGCTGGGAAAGTAGCTCAGTGGTAGAGTGCTTACCTCGCATGCCTGAGGCCCTGGGTTCGATTCCTCAGTACCACATAAGCAAAAAGAAAAAAGCCAGAAGTGGTGCTGTAGGTCAAGTGGTAGATCGCTAGCCTTGAGCTGAAGAGCTGAGGGACAGCACCCAAGCCCAGAGTTCAGGCCCCATGACCGGACCCAAAAAAAAAAAGAAAAAGAAAGAAAAAAAAGAAAAAAAAAGGAAGGGAATAGGGACTTGAACAACTCATAGCTGAGAGTGCAGGCAGGCTATCTTGCTGGGCCACGGTTCTAACTGACCATTATCTGGTCTACAAGCAGTCCTGGAGAAGTTGTCACTCCTGTCATCACTCGAAGTCTGCAGTCTAGTTTCCATGAGATGATTTCTCCTCCTCGGGGTACAGCCTAACCATCAGGAGTTCATGTAGAAATGGATCGCATCATGGGATCTCATCTGTCCTGGGAGGCTTGCAATTGTTTGGGAGTAGTTTTGATCCTTGTTATAAAGCAGTCAATTGATCAGTACTGTCATAATTTCTGAATTCAAAGTAACTGCTGAAGAGAGAGACTGGGGTGGAAAAAAGTTAAAGAGGCCATAACAGAGAGGAACAACATAGAATCAGGCCACTGGTGGGTGCTTTCTTTCAGGCCTATAACTTTTACTTACATGAAGTATAATTTATATACAGTGAAATCCATCAGTACAGTTCAGTGAAGGGTATTTGAGACAGACTCTTGCAATGTAGAACTTGCTGTATATCCTGGGCTGGCTTTAATTAGCAAACTAATGAGTTAACAATCAGTGTGGACTTAACTTTTTTCATATTCTCAATGAAATCTAAAGAAAAAGAAAAAAAGAATTAAAAAGAAAAAGAACAGCAAAGATGTGCCCAATGTTTGAACTAGAAATACACTTCACCTATTGCTTTCTGGGGTTTTTTTTTTTGGTCTTCATAAAGTATAAAGTTTTTCTAAATAAGAACTATGGGGCTGGGAAGGTGGCTCAGTGGTAGAGCACTTGCCTTGCATGCTCGAGGCCCTGGGTTCGATTCCTCAGCACCACATAAGAAAAAAGCCGGAAGTGGCGCTGTGGCTCAAGTGGTAGAGTGCTAGCCTTGAGCTGAAGAGCTGAGGGACAGTGCCCAGGCCCAGAGTTCAGGCCCCACGACAGGACCCCCCAAAAAAAAAGAACTATGAATATAATAAATGTGCTTAGTATAGAAGAGTTTTTAAATATATATTTTTAAGTAGAGGAAGAAGCCAGGGGCAGTTGGCTCACACCTGTAATCCTAACTCTCAGGAAGCTAAGATATAGAGGATCAAGGTTCAAAACAAGTGTGGTGGGCTGGGATGGTGGTGGGCTGGGAAGGTGGCTCAGTGGTACAGCGCTTGCCTTGCATGCCTGAGGCCCTGGGTTCGATTCCTCAGCACCACATAAACAAAAAGAAAAAAGTCGGAAGTGGTGCTGTGGCTCAAGTGGTAGAATGCTAGCCTTGAGCTGAAGAGCTGAGGGACAGCGCCCAGGCCTAGAGTTCAGGCCCCAGGACCGGACCCAAAAAAAAAACAAACAAACAAAACAAGTGTGATGCCAGTCGCTGATGGCTCATACCTGTAATCCTAGCTACTCAGGAGGCTGAGATCTGAGGATCACAGTTCAAAGCCAGCCCAGGCAGGAAAATCTGTGAGACTCTTATCTCCAATAAAACTACTAGAAAACCAGAAGTGGCGCTGTGGCTCAAGCAGTAGAGAGCTCACCTTGAGCTGAAGACCACAGGGACAGCGCCCAAGCCCAGAGTTCAAGCCCCACAACCGACCAAAAACAAACAAACAAACAAAAAAGTGTGAGTAGAAAAGCATGAGATTCTGTATCCAGAATAACAAAGAACTGGGGAGCTGGGAAGGTGGCTCATTGGTAGAGTGCTTATCTCACATGTATGAGAGCCTGGATTCGATTCTCAGCACCACATAAGCAGAAAAAGCCAGAAGTAGTGCTGTGGTTCAAGTGGTAGCCTTGAGCTGAAGAGCTGAGGGACAGTGCCCAGGCCCAGAGTTCAGGCACACAACTGACAAAAAAAAGAACTGGGCTGGAGGCATGACTCAAATGGTAGAGCACCAGGCAAGAACAAGCAAGCTGACCGCCCCCCCCAAAAAAGGAAAAGAACGAGCAAGCTGAGTAAGTGCAAGGCCCTGAGTCCCAATCCTGGTATCAGAAGTAGACGAAAATTACTAGTTTGCTGTCATCATTTAGAGATAAGCACCATGACATTGTGTTTATCCTTCCCAAGTAGTTTTTTGTATATAGCTGTTGGGGTAGGTCCTTCACTTCAGTTCCTTCTTGTCTGTTGTCTAGATGTAGTCAGAGTTACTTCTAAGACAAACATCCCCATTTGCTTTTGTTTTGTTTTTCCCTTTATATTTATTGTTTCTCCTTTTCCTCCTCTTATTCTTCCTCTTCCTTTTTCTTGCTTCCTTCTCTTCTTTCTCCTCCTGCTCCCCAACTGTTGTCTAGAATACAAGGTCTTGTGTGATGTTACCCCTGCTGCCTCTGCATTCCATTCACTCCATGCCTCAACTGTTAGGTTCCTCACCACCTTGTTCCTCTACCTTGAGTGCCTCCCCCAGCTCTCCAGTGATCAGCTCCTCTTCTTCTCTAGTGCTCTGTCCAAACATGTCCACAAAAAAAGGCCCCTGCCAATATCTGCCCTTCAGTGTTTCCATTCTATATTTTTGTGGGTCTAGGGTGTTGTGACATTTCTTTATTGACTTATTACTTGTTTCCCTCCAGTGGAATGTCCAGGGGTGATTTGCCTTGGTCACTGCAGTATCCTCAAAGTCTAGTGTAGAATCTGCCACGTGACTGATGCTCAGTGAGTAAATGAGATCCAGCTCATGTCCTTTCTCTGAGCAACATCCTCTAATAGCTTTTCATATCAGCCAAAATGAAACTCCAAATCCTTGTACTATTCTACAATTTGCTATACTGCCTGGCCCCTTCTCCATCCACTTCCCCTTTCTTTTCTCTCATTAACTTCACTCCAGCCACCTAGCCTACTTGCTGTTCCTCAAGAATTCCTAACACTCACCTCTTGGTCCTTTGCACTTTCTGCTCCCTCAGCCTGGAACACTCTTCTAGAAATCTGCCTGGCTTACTTCCCTGTTTCAATAGCATTGCAGTTTTCCTGACCATTGAAAAACAAACCATTTCTATTCCTTTCCTGTGTTTTCTTCATCACTGTATTATCATCACTTGATGCATAATAAATTTTAGATGCTACTTTAATATTTCCCCAACTAGATTGCCACCCTGCATGATGAGCAGAGATATTCTGTGGGGTTTTGTTGTTGTTTATGCCATCCAGGGGCTTGAACTCAGGGCCTGATCACTGTCCCTGAGCTTTATTCACTCCTTGCTAGCTCCCTACCACTTAAGCCACAACTCTACCTCTGACTTTTTTTTTCTTGTAGTTAATTAGAGATAAGAGTCTACTGACTTTCCTGACTGGGTTGAATGGTGATCTTCAGATCTCAGCCTCCTGGGTAGCTAAGATTACAAGCCTGAGCCACTGGTGCCCAGCTGGGATGTTCTGCTTTGTTCAGAGTTTAGATCTCCAGTTCTGGTGATAGATCCAGTAAATGAAAGTTCACTTACAGGGCTGGGAAGTTGGCTCAGTGGGAGAGTGCTTGCCTCCCATACATGAGGCCCTGGGTTCAATTCCTCAGCACCACATAAGCAGGAAAAAAAAAAACTGGAAGTGGCACTGTAGCTCAAGTGGTAGGGCACTAGCCTTGGCTAAAGAGCTGAGGAACAGCACCCAGGCTCAGAGTTCAGTCCTCATGGCAAACCAAAAAAAAAAGAAAGAAAGCCGACTTGTACAGCTCTGTAGAAATGTTTAGTTTACTCACATTGCACCATGCAGAGTGGTGCTAGTAGGATTTCTATATCTTCTTTCCTTTTCTTTCTTTTTTTTTCTTTTCTTTTTTTTTTTTTTTGTTGTCAGTCGTGGGGCTTGAACTTACGGATTTTGGTGGTTAAGTGGAGGAGAGAGTCTTATGGACTTTCCTGCTTAGGCTTCCTTTGAACCACAATTCTCAGATCTCAGCCTCTTGAGATTACAGACGTGAGCCACCAGTGCCCAATTTCTGTATCTTATTTCTAAAGAAGCATAGGAGAGGGCTGAGAAGGTGGCCCAGTGGTAGAGTGCTTGCCTTGCATGCATGAGGCCCTGGGTTCGATTCCTCAGCATCACATAAGCAGAAAAATTCGGAAGTGGCTCTGTGGCTCAAGTGGTAGGGCACTTGCCTTGAGCTGACAAAAAAAAAAAAAGAAGCATAAGAGAAATTTGTCTTTCTTAGCTTATGCATAATGGGAATCATTATACAGAACATTGTACATAGTACAACACGAGCTGGAATATGCTTAGAAACTAGGGCTATGGCCAAATACAAGCAAAGGATGATATGCACTCTGCATGCTAACAAAAGTTTTCACTGTTCTTTTCTAGCTTAGTATTAAAAATTTCCCTATTTTCTTTTCTTTTTTTAAATTTTTGTCAGTCGTGGGGCCTGAACTCTGGGTCTGGGCACTGTCCCTCAGCTTTTCAGCTCAGGGCTGGTGCTCTACCACTTGAGCCACAGCATCGCTTCCATCTTTTTCTGCGTATGCGCTGCTGGGGAATTGAACCCAGGGCCTCATGCATGCAAGGCAAGCACTCTACCACTGAGCCACCTTCCCAGCCCCTATTTTTTTAATAATTTAAAACATATTAATAATTTAAAACATATTTTTTCTTCTTAGTATTTTTTGCAAGCTACCTTGTATGTTTCCATGATCAGTCTGTATGTTTCTAAAATAGTATTACTTGCTTTTTCTTATTTTGCACTTTTGGTTTTTTTGTTTTGTTTTGTTTTTGTCGCTTGTAGGGCCTGAACTCTGGGCCTGGGCGCTCTCCCTCAGTTCTTCAGTTCAAGGCAAGCTGAGGAATCGAACCCAAGGCCTCAGGCATGCAAGGCAAGCACTCTACCACTGAGCCACCTTGCCAGCCCCCAGAGTAGCATATTTTCTAGTGCTATAAATTCCTCAGACATTTGATTTTTTTTTGTTTTGTTTTGTTTTTGTTTTTGGGTCCAGACGTGGGGCCTGAACTCTGGGCCTGGGCGCTGTCCCTCAGCTCTTCAGCTCAAGGCTAGTGCTCTACCACTTGAGCCACAGCGCCACTTCTGGCTTTTTTTTTTTATTTTTGCTTATGTGGTGCTGAAGAATCGAACCCAGGGCCTCACACATGCGAGGCAAGTGCTCTACCACTGAGTCACCTTCCCAGCCCAGACATTTGATATTTTTTTGGTGCAGAACTGGACATAGAACTCAGTGCCTCATGCATGCTAGGCAAGCATTATCTCATTGAGCTTCATCTCCAGCTTAGATATTTGATTTCATTGATTTCATAATGATTGCATTTACAGAGTGACTATACCATAATTCCTTTTCTATTGTTGCACAACGATTTCCAAAATGTGGTTGCAATGAACATTTTTATACATAAAGCCTCTTCATTTGCTTCAGTTAGTTTGCCCTACTTGATGCTTAATATGCTTCTTGGCTCCAATTCAAAACACTAAATGCACCTGTATTCTGATAGCATTTTTTTCTCTTTCCTTCTCAATTAGCTTCCCCTGCAATTCCAAAGACTTGGACATCTAGTGGCTCTGATGGCACTGCTGTGTGGGGACCCAGTGAAAGAGGTGGCTGAGGAGGCTGCTGAGGGCACACACTACCTGCTACATATCACCCTGAGGCTGAAGTGTAAGGCACTGCTGAAGGCAGTGAGAGCCGAGTCAATTCTCTAGCACAACATAAGCAACAGCCCTCCTTCCCTAGAAAGAGTTTTTTAAAAATTCATAAAGAGAAAGGTATGCAGCCTATAGGCAGAGGTGAGGCAATGCTGACTTAAAACAAAAGAATCATGGGAGACCCATCCAGTGTGAGCCATCTGCATGGACCTATGAATGTAGTTAGGTAGAAGTTGGTAGGTTCCTGCTGTTGTTTTGGGCCTTCATTAAATTATTTATCATATACTGTTTACTGGTTTTTTGTTGTTGTTGTTTTTGCGGTTATGGGGCTTGAACTTTGGGCCTGGGCACTGTCCCTCAGCTCAAGGTGAGCGCTCTACCACTTGAGCCACAGTGCCACTTCCAGTTTTGTGAGTAGTTTATTGGAGATAAGATGCTCACAGACTTTCCTGCCCAGGCTGGTTTTGAACCATGATCCTCAGATTTCATCCTGCTGAGTAGCTAGGATAACAGGCAGAAGCCACCAGCTCCTGGCTTGGTTTTTTTGAGAACCAATAGTAACAAACCCAAGCAGCCCCAGTCTTATATTCTAGATAGTCTAGTGGGGGATCAGAGTCAAGGAATAACTATTATCAGGAATAATAAAAACTCTTAAGGTGGGCCTGGGAAGGTGGCTCAGTGGTAGAGTGCTTGCCTCGCATGTATGAGGCCCTGGGTTCGATTCCTCAGCACCACATAAGCAGAAAAAGCCAGAAGTGGCACTGTGGCTCAAGTGGTAGAG